AATTCGATCTTCAATTTAAAATATTTACACTAGTGGATATCACAAAATTTTATGTTATACTTAATGAAAGTACGAATAAACACTATAGTGGGTCACTTTCATTAAGCTTTGAATTCCATTGGTAAGGTTTAAACTTTTGAGAAAGACTTCACAACCTTGAAAACAAAAACACTTTCATTTTGCATATCCTTGCACATTTAATATTTGTAATAGATTAGTAGTGTATGGATGTATTTTTTATGAGGCTCTTATTTTCGAGTGTAGATGTAGTACTTAAACGACAAATGTGTTTTAATGTTTTGAAGTAATATTTATGTGACAATGTGTGGTATGTGCAAATTTAAGAAGAAAAACAATATTTTTCTTAACGGGTCATAACGGGTCGGGTCACTTTACCCGTTGGGTAAAGTGACCCGACCTGTTAAGGACCCGTTAAGATAACAGGTGTGACACGACACGACCCGTTAAGATAACAGGTGTTACACGAAAATGACACGAACACGACTGACACGACCCGTTTGCCAGGCCTAGTGTTGAATGCTTAGGGTTTGTCTGGTGTCTGATTGAACTTGATTGAACAATTAACTAGATTCAATGCACGTGTAAGAAACAAATGGATACTAATTTTAAAATTTGTGCAATTTAAAAGTAGAATCATAGATGAAATAGTCACGACAAAAACTTATCTTCACTCCTTGACATACATTTCTTTATTCATTTCTAATTCGATTATAAACAATAAAATCGACCTAACGGTTTTATCACCAAACATGTAGAGTTCATCACCAAAAGGTAAACCTTATGAATGACATGGTCAGCAATGAAAGAATTTAAGCTAGGGTTGTAAATGCTGATTGCATAAACTCAACTCAAGTAATTATGAGTGAGGTATGGACTTCATTATATAGAGATTACAAGATGAGGTTGGTTACAGTATAAACATATCATCTGGTTACACTTGAAGTTCAAAACTAAGTTACACAGGAGTTTTAGATAAGGAAGGATTGTGATTCCTTTCTATCTATTGAAGAGTTTGAAGAGTATCCAACTTGTGTAGCTGACTTGGAGAGTCCTTTACCATGCATTGCTAACGTGGAGAAAGATCCTGAATATTTGGTTTATCACGCCCTCGCAAGCTGAGTGGGCGTTAACGAATAGGAAGCTTGGAAATGAGATAACTGAAACGAGCTATGGACAAGCCCTTTGTTAAGAGATCTGCAATTTGGTCAGCGGATGAAACATATCCCACAACAAGTTCATTTCGAATTACTTTTTCTCTAACTTAATGATAATCAACTTCCACATGACGCATACAAGCCTGATAAACTGGATTGGAAGCGACTGCCAGTGCGTTGATATTATCACACCACAATCTTGGTGGATTGAGAGGAAGATGAAGATCACGGAATATGTGTCTGAACCAAGATAAAGTGGCGGAGGTATAGGCCATTTGTCGATACTCAGCCTCTGTACTGGAGTGAGACACACCTCTTTGCTTTTTAGAACTCCAAGAGATTAAGTTATCCCCTAGAAAAATGCAATGACCACCAGTGGAGCGACGATCATCTGGGTCACCAACAGAGTCAGCATCTGCAAACGCTGTTAGGGACAAAGAACTGGGTTTATAAACTATACTGTGATCATGAGTGGCTTTCATATAACGAAGAATGCGCTTGACTGCAGCCCAATGTGTAGTGGTGGGTGAATGCATGTACTGGCAGACTTGATTTACAGCAAAAGCAATGTCAGGCAGTGTGAATAAGAGGTATTGGAGAGCCCCAACAACGCTTCTAAAATTGTGTCCATCATCCAAGGGTTCACCCTCATATAGACTAAGCTTGCAGCCAGGGAGGGCAGAAGTAGACAATGGTTTGGCGTCAACCATCTGAGTGCGTTTGAGTAGGTCCAGGATTTACTTGGATTGTGTTAAATACATGGCCTTCGGTGTTCTCGTAATTTCCATTCCCAAAAATTAATGTAAGGCCCTAAGGTCTTTCATTGAAATTTTTTGTCCCAATTGTTGAATCAATGTGGAGATGTGAGATGGATTATTACCTGTGACAAAAATGTCATCAACATAGATAAATAAATGACAGTAGTTCCATTGAAGAAAATGAACAACGAAGAATTTGCAGTTGATGCTTGAAAGCCGAGGTCTTCCAAATGTTGAGAGAAGCATTGAAACCAGGCACGTGGGGCCTGTTTTAAGCCGTATAGGGACCGTCGAAGGCGACACACATGTGATGGAAATTGTGGATCGACCAAGCTAGACGGTTGGTGCATGTATACTTCCTCATTTAAAGAACCATGGAGAAACGCATTTTTGACATCAAGTTGGCGAATTTGCCAGTTAAAATGAAGAGCCATAGAGAGAATAAGTCTGATAGTAGCATGAACTGAACTAAATGTTTCATTATAGTCGATCCCTTCTTGTTGATGAAAACCATTGGCAACAAGACGTGCTTTAAATCTTTCAATGGAACCATCAAATTTACGTTTAATACAGTACACCCATTTATTTGGTAGAACATTCATGGAGGGATGAAAGGGAACCAAGGACCACATTCTTGTGCTTTGCAGAGCATTGAACTCTTCTGCCATTGCCATATGCCATTCAGGGTACTTATTTGCCTGTGTAAAACAAGTAGGCTCAACTATTTCATTAGTCACATCAGAAACAAGAGCATACTTGGGATTTGGTTTTTGAATGCCATCCTTTGAACGTGTGACCGAGTGAACAGGTTGAGTGTGTCTCTGAGAAAAAGATGAGACAAGGGCAAGACGAACTGCATTCGTAGAGGATAGGGTTGGTGAAGGGTCAGGGAGAGAAGGTACAATGGAGATAGGTGATGGTGATGAAATAGGACTGTTTAATATAGGGGAATAAGGAAGGTTAGGTTGGGTGGATGATATGGCGGGAGGTATGGGGTGGTGCGGGTTTTGTGGTAAAGGAGAAAGAATAGGGTTTGGTTGTGTGGATGGTATGATGTGAGGTATAGGGTGGTGCGGATTTTGTGGTAAAGGAAGGGAAATAGGGTTCCTAGAGGGATATATTAAAGAGGAGGGGTCAATATTCAGGATTGTAGATGATGGGGAGGATGAAGACTTTGTAGAAATGGATTCTTGGTTGGAAAATTGGTTTCATCAAATAGGACATGACGTGATAAAAATATGCGACCCGTGGACATATCTAAACACCTATAACCTTATTGATTTAATGAATAACCTAAGAAAATGCAACATTTGGAACAAAATTGTGACTTATTAGTATTATAGGGACGAAGATATGGAAAACATGCACACCCAAAAAATTTAAGAAAATCATATTGAGGAGATTTTGTAAACAACTTTTGAAATGGAGACTTATCATGGAGAACTTTAGTTGGTAAATGGTTGATCAAATAATTGGTTGTATGAAAGGCGTCATCCCAAAATGAAGTTGGTAAGGAGGAATGAGCAAGGAGTGTGAGACTAGTTTCAACTATATGACAATGTTTACGTTCGGAAATGCCATTTTGTTCAGGTGATGTGGACATGTAAAATGATGTTGAACTCCATGGTGAGTCAAAAACATTTTAAAATTGTTGTTTACGTACTCTCCTCCGCCATCAGTTTGATATGATTAATTTTAGTAGTGAACATGTTTTCAACCAGTTTTTTGAATGACACAAAAGTAGGAAAAACATCAGATTTTAATTTTAATGGATATAACCAAGAGTAGCGAGAATAATCATCAATAAATACAACATTATATTTAAAACCATTGATAGAAAATGAAGGTGAAGTCCATACATCGGAATGAACCAATTCTAATGGAGATGAAGACCTAGAAACTGACAATTGAAAAGGTAACTTGTGACTCTTACCCATGGGACATGAGTGACAGAACTCACTAGTTACAACGCCTTTAATGGGCAATTTATGCTTAGAAACTAAACTTTGCAAAATTTGAGAAGATGGATGACCTAACCTAGAGTGCCAAATTGAATTGGACACCCTAGTACCTAAAAATGCAGACACGCCTTTATTTGAAGATGAAACACCAGAAAAGGGATAGAACCATTTCTGCTCGGGCCTTGGAAAAGCATCCTCCCCGTGTGAAGTTCCTGAACAAAGTATGAGTTAGGCTATAAGGTTAGAGAGCAGTTATTATCATTTGTAAAGCGATGGATGGAAACAAGGAAGAAAATATCGGTAATATCGGAAATATCGGTAGTCCGAAAACTCGGAAATATCGATGGAAATATCGGGATAATATCGATATCGATAAAAATTACATGGAAACCACGGAAATTGTAAGAAAACTTGGAAATTTTTATTGAAACTTTACAGGATATTTATTTAGTCAATTATCTATTACTTTATCACAAAAAATTGGAAGGAAATGCATTGCATGATGGATTTAACTGATTTAAGTTGATTATAGAGCAAGCTGGCAAACATTGTGAGTGTAGAAAATATGTAGTAATTAATGAAAGAAGTTTAAACACACCATAATCATTTATATATAATTAATTAGTACAATATTGGGAAGTTTTATTTAGGATATTAAAAAAAAAAAAAAGGAAGTGAATAAAATGATGAAGAATAATGTGCCGAATTTGACACTTTAAATTTCTTACACATAAGCATGCGTCTAGGCGTTGAAGTTCCAAATTATAGTATATCAATTAACGATTGAAAATCAATACGTTGAATAAGACTAAACTTTAATTTGGATGCCGATTATGTTTTTTCAAGTTTATATAAAGTAAAAGAATTGAATTTTGGAAGCCAGGAGTGTGTCAATTGTTTTATAATTCGTCCGAATACATATATCAGGTTGCTACTCAACGTAATTTGAAAGTATATCTAGTGCAAGGACTTGTCTTTTTTTGTTGATAAGCAAAGGGTTTGTAGCTTTTTTTGCTAAGCAGTAGAACATATTATGCTTGTTTAATCTTTAGTATCTGATCGTTGTCCACAAATATAGGCTAGAAGGCCCCATTTTTGTTTCCTTTTTTTTTTTGCTGTTTTAATTTATTTGGGATTTTTTTTAGTCCACTAGATTCTTCTATTGCTACTCAATTCCGAGATTTGATCATGCTTTTTTGAATCGCATCATAAAGAGGTGATGAGGCTTTCAACCCATTTACAAAGGATCCTAATGCCATTGGGTGTTTGAGTGGTATTTTCGTTTCTATTGTCTGTCTATTTTTATCATATATTCTTTTGTGTGATTATTTTGGAATATTTTGTATGTTGTCACCGGATCCAGCATAACAAGGTTTGTCACACTCAAAATTGCAGGTTAGTATTCATATGTAAACAAATAAACTCCATGTTTGTCTCTTTGCAAAGCAATATTGCATAAGTTTGGTTTCTCATAACTGCCCCTCATATTCATCTACCAGGCTACCACACAGGAATAAGAACTCATGAAGAGAACAAGGGCTTTAAATTTCTAAATCCGTACGGTTGGTTTCTTAAGTTATTTATTTTGGATTTTTATTTTAATATTTCTCTCTCTTTCCCACTCCTTCATTGTTTGGCTTTGATGTTGGCATAATCAATCATAATGCTACTCTCTATGTTCTTTTATTTTTTTTAATTTTTTTTATTGTTGTTCAATGCAGATTTTGGTTGGAACGCAAAGCAAGCATGCATGGACAATCATCGATAGGTTTTGATTATGATTTAATTCTTTATTGCTTTTGGCTAATTTTGTGTTTTAAATGATTTAGCTAATTGTGTTTAGAGATATTATTTCTCTCTATTTTTTATAGCTAATTGTTTACATGTATTATTTCTCTATGTTTTATGTACTTTTGATATTCATACTGTTCTCAAACACAACATCAAAAAAGAAATGAGTAGTTTTGCGAGGAGATGATAGAATTCAAAGAATTGCAATGGGTAATTCCTACAGATATATCTCAAATTTTCCTCCCGATATTTCTTGAAATTTTTTATTATTGGACAAAAAGAAGCAGGCTAGTCGTGGTTAGTCAATAGTGATTTTCCTTTTGGGATCGAATTGGGAAGGTGATTTTGATGTTTAACTTTTCATTCAGATTTTGGTAAGCAACTCTTTCTAAGTTGCTGATTGTTTTCAATCTTTCTCTCATAGCCCAATGAAAATCCTCAAAATGTTGGTACTTCTTCACAATTCCTGGACAAGCATCAAACGTTTTGGTTTCTGTAATCCCACATCGCCCACGCAAGGGTAGTGAGTAAGCAAACAGGCCTATAAAAGCCACATTCCCAAGCTTGGTTTCTGTAATCCCACATCGCCCACGCAAGGGCAGTGAGCAAGCACACATGCCTATAAAAGCCACATTCCCAAGCTGAGAAAAGCATGCCTTGCTCGGCCCTTTTGGCTAAGATCAAGTCCAGTTATCTGTTGAGGCTTCTCATCATTTTTTAAATATTTTTGGGGTTTTGATCTCGCGATATTATCGAAAATATCGTGATAGTTTCGGAAATATCGCCGATATTATCAGCATTTTCTTCCTTGGATGGAAATAACATTGGTTGATGCATTTGGGCACAGTAGTGTATTGGGTAATGTAAAAGTGGATTTAGGTGTACGAATGAAAGTGTTACCTATGTGTGAAATTGTCAAACATGTTCCACCAACAACTCCATTGACTTGGTTCGGGCCATTATAAGGACGAGGATGTGAAACAGTAGCAGGATTATTGGTGATGTGAGCATTGGTCCCTGAGTCAAACAACCACTCCTATATGGCAGGTGCTGTTGCAGAAGCAGGAGGTACAGTGGCAGCAAAAGCTTGTAGTCGTGGGACAGGGACGCGTCCCTCATAAGACATGTTTAGGCGGTTGAAACAATCGATCGCAGAATGACCATGACGACTACAGATTTGACATTGAATCCGTCCATAAGTGAAATTACCTTAGGAGGGAGTGGGGCCGAGAATCCCATCATTGGGGCGAGAGTGTGACCCTTGGTAAAAGTGAGACCCGTGGTGTTGAGGTTGGTGAGAAAGAGGAGAGTTGCAATGTCTATTTGAAGAGCCACGACCATTATTGAAATTACTACGACCGCGAAACCCAGTAGAGGATCCTCGTCCGTGAAAAGTAGTAGGGGTACGACCTCCATTGCGAACCGCTGCAAGAGCAGTGAGGTCGCTGTCAGTACCAAATACAGAATGCATTTTTTGTCATCTTTAAGCTCCAAGGAGAAGTGCTTCCAAAGTACTATAGGTAATAGCCTTATCACGAGCTTGGGCCGAGGCAACAATGCTTTCATAGGCAGGGCCAACGTTGTTGAGAATAATGGTGACAATGTTGGAGTCTGAAACAGAAGCACCAGAGAGAGAGAGGGTATCTGCGAGACAATTAATTTTATCCAAAAATTTGAAAATGGAAGAATCACCTCTATGAGTATTCATCAACTCACTACGAAGCTGGAGAAAGCGACCGGTTGACTGAGAAGCATATCGATCACGTAATGTTTTCTAGGCAGAATGGGAGCTTGTTTTCCCAATTAAAGCAGCAAGTACGATGGGGTGAACGGAAGAGTTGATCCAAGACATAACAGTGGCATCCTATTGTATCCAGGTGTCAAAGTCGGGGTTGACTTTGTCAGTGATGTTGCCATCCACATCTGTCAAGAATGGTGGAGGACACTTACTGGTTCCATCGACAAAGGAAACAAGATTTCGACTACGGAGGAGATGGAGCATTTGGGCTTGCCATAAGGGGTAGTTGGTACGATAAAATTTGATTGTGAGAAAATTGGAGACATTTGGTAGGGGAATGGAAGAGGAGGATTGAGACGTCATGGGAGAGGGTAAAAAAAATTCTGTTGTTAGAATTTAGCTCTGTGATACCATGAAAGAATTTAATCTAGGGTTGTAAATACTGATTGCATAAACTCAACTCTATTAATTATGAGTGAGGTATGGACTTCATTATATAGAGATTACAAGATGAGGTTGGTTATAGTATAAACATATCATCTGATTACATTTGAAATTCAAAACTAAGTTACACAGGAGTTTTAGATAAGGAAGGATTGTGATTCCTTTCTATCTATTGAAGAGTTTGAAGAGTATCCAACTTGTGTAGCTGACTTGGAGAGTCCTTTACCATGCATTGCTGACGTGGAGAAAGATCCTGAATATTTGGTTTATCAAGCAAGACGTATAAATTAATAAGATTTTCTTCAAATGAGTATATATATTATCAATTATGACATAACTGATACGTATCGGCATTAAGTGTGTTTTTAATTTTTTTTTTTAATAAACAATATTATTTACACTAAGGGGAAGGGGGTAGACTTAGTCTCACAATGAGCTAGCAATAATGTGATTCAAATTCACCTTTGACGAGAATCGAACCTAAAACCTCTCACTTACAAATGAAAATAATATTACTAGATCATAGTACTGAGTAGCGGCATTAAGTGTTTTAAATTGAAAAATTATACAAAGACTGGAAAGTGAAAAGTCCTTGTCGTAGGAGTTTGACGGCACACCAAATCAAGCAAAGAGGGTAGCTGAAACATAAAGTTAACCTTATTTTCCTTTCTCTGCCTTGGTGACAACCTTAACCTTGAAAACCTCCAGCCGTCGGTCCCTTGCTTAGGCTTGGGCTGACGACAGCCCCTTCCACCTCTCTCTAACTCCCCTTTCCTAGTCTCTCCACCCCTTGCTTCCATTCCCCTCCCTTGCTGCAACCCACTCATTTCCCTTCCATCCGCACCCCGACCCCCTCCCCTCGCTGGTCTAACCAGAACTTTTTCCTCATACTCTTCATGCGCAACCTGTTTCTCTTAGCGTCGTAGCCAGCCTTCAACCCACTTCCTCGATTTATTGCCGAACAGGCTCCTGTTTGGGCCTTAGATCTGGGATTTTGGGTGGGTTTTGGTTTGTTTCATGGTTTTTCCTTGCTTTTCGATTGTTTTGCTCTTCTATCATAGGTATGGTGTTCGTGTAGCTCCTGAGTAGGGTTTGCACTTAGAGTTTCCCGGCGACGGCTTCCTGGGCACCGTCGTGGTGGGTTCCATATTTTCCAGTTGTTTTCTAATCGGTTGTTTGGACATCTGAGGGCTCTGGCCTTGGAAATATCGTTGTGTCCTCTTTGGGTTCGTGGTGATGGTGGGGATGGCGGTTAGTGGCATGGGTGGTCTTGGCTTCCCCTCTTCCATCCATGCCGCTATCATTTTTTCTTGCCATTATTACTGTGACCAACTCCGGTCAGATGTATCGCTGGCGGCTCTTGGTACTTTCATGTTGGGTTTTGGTTTATGGTGGAGTTTCCGACGACTGCGGTGGCTCTGGCTGGATTCCTTTTCGCCCCACCTCTCTAAGTTCGTCCCGGCTTCTACTAGCCTCGCACACCTCCCGACATTTCTGCATGTGCCTCTGCCTATGCTCCCCACGCCTACTGCAAACTTGCAACTGCACCTTCATTATGGACATGTCACCTTGTTTTTTTTCTTTTTTTTTTAGTCTAGTTTTTTACTAGTATGTGTTGCTTCGACAATTGATTTTGTGTCGCTTCTGAGATTTTGTAACCTCGCTAATTCACGTGGGTTTTGGTGAGGGTCTAGGAACTTGTTATGTCACTCATGGGACATATCTTTCACAGGACTACTTGTTCGTTCTGGTGGTGTGTTCTTTGTAGGATTGCCTTATAGGGGTTTTAAGATTATTTGTAATTTGTGCTTATTACCTTCGGATCAAGAAATTGATCACTGGAGTACATTTATCCATTTGCCAACCTTGTAAGTGTTTGGTTATGGTAATGAAATTATATCGTCTTTGATCAAAAACTAAAAAAAAAAAAAACAAACAAAAAAAGTTTCCATGCGGAAATAATAAAATGAGAAGTTTGTACGAGGCGAATACAGAATTCATGGAACCTCTTACTTTGTTGACAATCACTTGGGAAGGCATTGGATAAGCTAATTAACAGCCTATATGTATAGATTAATATCTTAGACATAGAAAAAAGATTTGTTGGGAGTTGACTAAACAAGTGGAGTAATCGTTAGAAATAAGATTTCTTTAATTAGTCTTTAATATATGTATATAGAAATGTTCTCTTAGTCATCTAATGACCAAGACAGTTCTGCTTAATCATAAGATTATATTAGTTTAAATCCATAAATATTAAAATATTTGACAACTTAATAAAGCTCCATTGAATTTGATACAAAACAATACTTTACAAGCATATTCAACTCTCTAAGGCCTCATTTAGCCTTAACGATTAGAGTGAGAAAGGATAATATAAAATATTCAAGGTATTTTAATAAGAAATGAAAAAAGAATTATTGCTACCAACTTGAAGTCATAAGATAGGTTACTCTCATTAAGAAAACTTATGCAAAACAATCTCCCACAAAAAAGGAGGATTAGATGATGTTAGATTTCTTCATGTTTGATTCACTTCTAATCCCTCAAAACGAAAAAATCAAGCACATTTACCTTCACTATGGTAAGTTATTTATTCGAATCCATTTCTAGCAAGGAACAAACAAAACCTAATGGGTGAGAGTTTTGAGGCAAGCCACACAATAGACTAACCATGATAATACAAAAACATTTAGAAATGCTAGAAGTGCTTTTATTATAATACCTTTCAAACGCTTAATTAGGAAGCACCTTCAAATACTTTTTTAGAAAACACTAGAAATTTGAGATTCTATGACCATAATTTCTAACTTTTTTTTGTCAAAATTCAAAAAGTGATTTTAGTTATTCGAATGAGATATAACGCTTCTAGAAACAATCCCAAACATGCTCTTAATCTTTTATTAGAGTTACTTTCAGTTCGAAACTTTGATGCTTATACTTCTCTTTGTGAAGGTACATATATAGAGATACAATTCTAAGGAAAACAATACTTCTAATCTATTTACAACAGAAATAAAATCTTACAAGAAAATAAAACAAAAGTAATTACATTCCTTCATAGAAATTACATCATTTAGTCTATAAAAATATGACCAAAAAAATTTGTACTTATTAAGAGGCAATGATTTGTTGTAGTTTTGTCAGCTCCTTCAAACGTTAAATAAATGGCTAATACAAGGGAAATGAAAATTTTAAATCAAATTTGCAAATTAAATGATGTATCACCAATAAGAAATAAGCACATTAATCAACACTTAAGTAATAATCCGCTCATCAACGTTCACTTCATTTGATTTACAAAATTTAGTTTAAAATTTGGCCTCCCTAGTATTAATCTATACAATAAGAATTCGAGTGTCTTAGAAACCGCATCTGATTCCTTTCACACTTGAGAAAAACATGAACTTTACTTGTACGAATTCTATATCTATGTAAGTATATTTTAAGACACGGTTAGCTACAACTCTATATCTATGTAAGTATATTTTAAGACACGGTTAGCTACAACTCACTACCAAACAAAGAAAAGCAAAATGGATTCGCTGGGAAACCATCAAGGAGGTCATAACATCAACGATTTTGAGTTGCAAGACTTCATAGATGATGCAAACTTTGGTCAATTCATTGATATTATTCGCGGTGACGGTGAAGATCCAGCGGCTAATTTTGATCCTGACCTTATGATGAATGGCTGCTTTGATGATTATAACCTGTTTGGTCAAGCTGGTTCTACTACTCCACCAGTTCTTATGTTTGGTTTTAATGATGCAATTGTACCCGATCCAACTACTTCTTTGTTTGCTACATCACCAAATTTTGATGGAGAAATGAAAGGCGGGGAAGAAGAGTACTATAATGACGGGGAAGATTCGTCTGGAACAACCACAACCATGACAACAACGAAGAGGCAAAAGGTTGACCGGTCGCGGACTTTGGTGTCGGAGAGGAAGAGGAGGGGGAGCATGAAGGAAAGGCTATATGCATTGCGGTCTTTAGTTCCTAACATAACCAAGGTAAAGAATACATATCCAATCCAAAACTTGTAATTTCGTACAGAGGCTTAAGAACTTTATATACTTTTGTGGAAACTATCTTTGAAGAACAAAAGTTATGTGTGCATGATTGTTGTTTAATATGTTGGAGATGTATATACATAGATGGATAAGGCCTCCATTGTTGGAGATTCTGTATTGTATGTACAAGACTTGCAACAGCAGGCTAAGAAGTTGAAAGCTGAGATTGCAAGCCTTGAAGCATCCTTAGCCGGAGCAGATGATCGAGACGGACATCTGGAAGGATCAACCAAACCTAATAAAGATTCAAACAATGACCAGTTCGTTTCTAAGGGCATCCTTCAGGTTAGAGTAATGTTATTTGTACCACCTCTATTGATTATCTTGTTAACCACCGGTTTACTAAAGACAGACTCATCTATGTATGTAGGACCCACTTGTATTAGAGAGGTGGTTAACAATATGATCCTATAACAACAATCTCTGATTGTTCCAACAATCAATTTGTGCAAAATTGTTGAAACTAAAATAACTAGTTTGCAGATAGACGTGTCTCAAGTGGAGGAAAAAGGGTTTTATGTGAAGGTGGCATGCAACAAGGGAGGAGGAGTAGCCATATCACTTTACAAGGCACTTGAATCCCTAACAAGCTTCGATGTTCAAAGTTCTAACTTGAACACAGTTTCAGCTGACAGATTTGAAATCACATTTGCTTTGAATGTATGTATAAATGATGTGCTTTACTTTCTCTGATCCGTTGGCAATTGTTACACTTCTAATTTTATATATACACTTCTTAAAAACAAGGTATAAAAGATGAGTGTTAAAATTGCTACCCTCTCGATGTCGTCAAGTGTTCAGTCTTTGTCCTTCTTATTAATTACCTAACTGTTAATATTTGTCAAAAACAGGTAAAGAAATGCGAGCAGGACGTCGTCAACCTGCCAAATTTGAAACTTTGGGTCACGGGTGCTTTTCTTAATCAAGGTTTTAAATTGGCTTCTGGATTCTCAGCCTAATCTCTCTCATATGCATGTATGTTGTAATCTGAGTATTTAAATTAACCCAAGTTTCCATATAAAGCAGAATGTAACAAAAAGGTCTAGTTATATAAGTTTCTACTTGCCAAAGAGCCATGAACACATGCATGCATGCAGCGAGAACAATTTATGCTTTGTAATTTATCATTTTCAACTATCTTCGACGCCCATCGATACATGTATAATATTTCTTTCGTGTTATTCTATCTAATAAATTGTTACTTATCTAGAAATATGCTTTTAGATTTCTGAATATGGTATTAATCTCCTGTAATAATAACAATGATTAAGGTGCAAGTCAAATATACAAATGGATGATGATAGTAGACAAAGAGCTTAACCTGAAGAGCTAAAAGGTTGCTGGACGGTCGTCGAGAATTTTTTTTAGTATAACGTCATATAATACCAGTTTCTGTGTTATAATTAAGTGGACGACACAAATGATATATTAATGATTTAGTCTGGAAAATCTTTCTTCAAAATACTTAAACCGATAGTGGTTCTTGACACCTGAGTGTTTTTGCTATTTGACACCCATTTCTTCATAACGTGCAAATTGACCCTCTTCTAATACTTAAGCTAACAGAAAATAAATAATAACAAATGTTGATGAGTTAGTGATTGTAACTGAACTCTAATATGGAGGTCGTCCGCATCACCACCGACATACAATTTTTTTTTATTTTTATGAATGATCTTGTTGACCCTAAAAACTACTAAGCCTATATGACGCGCAGACCAAGTAACTAATGAGCTAACTACGTCCTTTGTGTGTGCGGGGCGTGCCAACTTGACGGCCGAGCTCGGCCGAGGAGTAAAATTTGTTGATATTACGTTGAGCGCGCTGCTGACTTCTTGATCTTGCGACTGCGGCCGAGGAAGGAACACGTCTCGGCCTTCGGGTTCTAAAGCCTGAAGACAAGGCTGCTAGTCTGGCGAAGTTCAGGGATCGTCGGCGCCGAGTTCGGTCACGGTGATTATATTCGTAAGAGTATAAGCACACCAAACTGGATCCAAACTATACGGACACAAGTACTCAAAAGAGATATATGTCTAAAACTTACTTGTGAATATCCAATCATAAAACAACTCAACGTTCAATGTGCCAAGCGAAGTAATCTGTAACACCTTACTTCGCCGAGAAGGCTAATGAGATGACCTCTGCTAATAAGGATTCGAAAATCCTTCTCAACCGAGACTTGGATAGATAATCAGTCAGCCTCGACGTAGTGTTGTTTATCCAAACTGAAGGTGCTTCGCGGTCGGCTGATTCTATGGCAACAGTGCTGTTTATCCAAACTAAAGGTGTTCGCCGGTTGCCTTCACAATGCTGTTTATCCAAACTGAAGATGTGTCGGCGAAAAAGAACATAAAAATCTCAAGGTTGTTGAAAGGTTTCGCGTAGAGCGAGAGTTTGCGCAGGGCCGTTTGTGTGTTGAGTTGGAGAGGCTTAGAATGATGTAACCCCTTCTTATTTATAGCAGCCAATCTTATCATGGCTGAACCAGAACTATACTCATATCAGGATTCCTTAACCTAATCCAACCAGGTCTCGACCAATCCTGCCTCCATTAGGGCATTGAACCAACCTCTTTATCCGGCCACATTCACCTTTCAAATCTCAGCATCCTCATCCTATTGAGACTTCTTGTTATACTAGGATTCGACTTACCCCATCAATCCACCTCATACTAGGACTCGGCCGAACTTAACCAAGCAGCCCATAATAACTAAAATTCGCGATGATTTTAGAAACATACTGCTGGGCTGAGAATAGCTCCGAACTTGGCCCATACTAATATTTTGGGCCCAAACATTACCCCCTCGCTTCTGAGGTCCTTGGCTTTCATTCCTTAGCCGAGCCTCGACCTTGAAAAAGCAAAATTGACTATTATACTTCTTCACAACTGAAACGCCTTAAATAACCCAAACACGCTCATTTATAAGACACGATCACACGTTTATGATTCTTTAACATCCTGCCACGCAACAATCTTCTACTCGTTTGTCCTCTAATGATGACATTTGAAACGTGCAGATGCCAAACATTTCTTCATCATTAATCCTTCCATTACACATACCCGTGCTACCATGAATCATGAACTGCTAGGTCATCAAATCGTCCATTCATAAAAAAAACGCCGCCACACGTCACCACGTCTCCTCAATCCACGAGTTTTCCAATTTCTTCATACAGATTTCCCGAATCTCCATGATGATTGTAAAACTGTCCAACTAGTCTTACCATTTCTTTTCAAAATCAAACGATTGGCCTTCTTCCAAAACCCCTATAAATACCCAAAATCCTTCATTTTTTCCTTTACGCTTTTAGAATTCTCAAACCTTTTACTCTCATATCAACCTTCAAAGCTTATTTTCTAACTAGAAAAACTCTTTTGAGTCCAGAAATTTCTTCAAGTTCTCAACAATGGCTCTCAACACCTTCATCTCTAAACTTTCCAACGAATGCACCAAGTGCCGGGACTTCATTGATTGGACGCCATAAAAAACCTACGAATTGAAGGTGACCCGAGCGCTTCTCACCAGACCCTGGGACCAATCTTTAAAGATAATGTCCCAGCGTCCATTACCAACCTCCTCAAAGATCACTGCCTGGAACTTTTGTTTCAAGGATATGACTGGTCGGAGTGGGAATTGACCAAACCCCAAGAAGTCTGGCCTTCAACTACCGCGGTCTGGGTAGCATGGGTCGAAAGGATGGAGAAATTCTTCAGTATGGAATGGAAGATTCTCAGCATTTATAATGCCATCAAGCTCTCGACCATCGAGATCATCATAGACAAAGAACTTCTCATGGAAGCTCTAGGCTTTTAGTGCTCAGCCACCAATACTATGGTGCTTCTGCTCGGCCCTATTGGCCCCACTATTCTCGACGTCTCAGCCATCATCGGGACCTCCCCTTCAGGTCTCCCAATTGACGTCTTCCTCCTTGGGTGCCCATCCAACCTCGAATTCAAGATGTTATTCGACGAACGCGATGTCGAGTAGCTGAGGAAGAAAAACCAAGAGCCATTGAAAGAAGAAGTTCAGAAGTTGCACAAGAACTTCTTCAACTACAACACCCTCATTCAACACTTTGCTGGCCGAGGGGAAGAAAACCTCATGAAGGGAAAACAAGAAGCCCTCATTTTCTACTTGTACAACAAATTTATTTGTTGTACCAAGTCGAATAAATGTTTGGTCGAGAACATGCTGGTCGCTAAATCATTAACCATTGGCCATGTCCTGGCTCTTAGTTCGGCTATCATCGCCAACCTTACGCGTTGCCTAGCCGGGACGACGGTTAACTAGACTGGCCCACTTTGGGTTCTTCAACTCTGGCTGCAAGTCTATTTTTCTACCTTCAGGCTAGAAGTCCCCAACTTCAAACCCTCTGAAGTGTTAGGTCTTCAATTTGGCTCTAAACCCGATCCTCCTCACTCAACCGAAAAAGTTTTTAAATACTTTTCAGCCTAGATGACCTTTCTGATGACGAGTTTTTAATCTGCCGTCGTCAAGAATACCCTCATTTCATCAAGCTCTCATCATCAGCATGGAATAAAGCCGAAGACGCTGACCTCCGAAAGAACTGGGGATCGTTTGTGTTAACTCATGAGCTTCCTCTCGGTTGCGATGCTAAGCGCGCAAGTTAGGAAGTCTACCAACCTTACTTCACCGCACGGCAACTTGGCTACCTCCAAGGCTACCCATTGCCTCTACTTACCTCCCGTTCTCTCCTAAGCCGATGACGCCTCTCTGGTTCTTCAGAAACAGAATGTAGGGAGGCCAAGCAAGAATTTCAAGAAAGGTGCAAGAAATTCCGCCTCTGGCCCAACGTCCCTAAGACTCTCAATATTGCCACTTTTGTTGACTGGTGGGCCGTATATACTCAAGACTTTTTTGGCACACCGGTTGAAATTGTTATCAAGAAATTTTTTGGCGACCGCACAAAAAAGACTCCCGCCCCAACATCCAAAGAAACTGCTCAAGGTATTTGTCTACATCTATCATTTCACTTTGGTCATTTGTTCAAACTCCTTTCTGATTTGATTTTAGCTTTTTCAGGCAGTTATACGGACGTAGCTACTGCGACCGTGGCCAAGAATAAACTTGCCCTCTCGCTAAAGAAAACCACGACCACTTTGCCGACCTTACCGGGCAAACGGTCTCACCCACAGGTCGAGACAGCTAGCAATGGTCCCCATGCTAAAAAACGCATCAAGAAGTTGGCGAAAAAAAAAGGAGCGGAAGATTCATGTCATCTCCAGCCAAACTACAGGAACAACTGCTGAGTCTCCTCGTGCTATTGCCGTTCAAACCTTGGTGGACATGCAACCAAACCTTCCCACTGGTCAAACACCTGAGGTTTGTCCGGTTCAACAAGTTGTGGTCGAGCTAACTGTTGATCCGATAATGGAGGAAACTGCAGCTCCAGGGCCGACCGTTGCTCATGTCTTGAAGGAAGTGGCCACCTTAGCCAAGAAAAATCTCCCTCCGAATCCAAAAACAAAAACAGTGGTCGTTCTGGAGGAAGAGGTATGATTATGTTGTCGACAAAGTTTTCCTTCGACTAGATTTCGAATACTAATAACCCTTATTTCAGCATGACGACAGCGAAGACGTCCCTCTAACGAGTCACCTTCGACCAACTAAACCCCTTACCATTAACTCTCCAGTTGTGGTTGAGGCGACTGACTAGGTCAATCCTTTTGTAGCCGATCAAGGAAAAATGCCACTTGTTGAGCCTGAAGCGACGGCAGAGACACCAATCCATCCGCAGGATCAAGACCTTGGCATTCTTCCTCAAGAAGTTACTTTGGCCTTTGTGAGGCTTGATCATTTTCTTTCGTTAATTTTACTATAACAAGTCTGAACCGAGAAAAAATATTAAATGTCAAGTGCCCGATTATTCATTTCATTGAAAATTCTATGCGTCGAATGGTGTTATCTATATTTCATGGCTACCTCAGTGGTCGTCGAACGTAGATAACCTTCATCGGCCGCGTGAATTGAGAAGCAGTCTTAAACACTGGGCTTAACCATTAAGCTTTCTAGGTTCGAGCAATGAACCAGAGGACATGGTC